CTTCTTCTTCTTCTTCTTCTTCTTCTTCTCCTCCTCCTCCTTCTCCTTCTCCTTCTTTCTTCTGCAGGAGAAAACTCCTTTCAGGTACAACACAGGTTTAAGGATACTGGGCTAGTTTACTTTTTAGACAAAAAAATTATGGAAAGTGCTGACTAGTCCTGAAGTTCTCCAGCTTCTTCTTATAGCAGTGTTTTTCCCCAATCAGTTGCAAGTGGAAGCACTTATCATGCACACTTACTATAAGGCTATTTTCCCATTAATTTTCTGCAGTGAAAGGGCAGTATATCATGGATTAAAGGTCTTTCCACCATTTTGGAAATGAGGAATTCCATCTTATCTCCCAAAACATACACAGTGATGCAGGACCTCTGGGGCCAAATTCCAGGGCTCCCAATCTAGGGAGCACATGAAAGGGTGCCAAGAGAATGGTAAATACTGGAGCAGTAAATGATGGGATTCATGGTTCACTTCCTATGTCAAAGGCACTGAGATGGGGAAAGCCCATTCCTTTGGAGCACACAAGCCCAGGCTGGTGAAAGTGCATGTAGGGATTAAACTGGGTTCATCAATTAGGTTGTGATGGCTTTCACAAGGTATCGCTTTCTCTGATAACCTGCAGCTGGAAAAAAGAAGGATTCTGTACTCCATATTGCAAGTATAGGAACTCATTTGCCAACCCCCCTCCATTGTGGACCCACTTTCTGAGTCACTCTTTCTGAATCTGTGAAGTGTGACTTAAACATCCATAAATTCTGCTACTATTGAAATAACAATTGATTCCATCTGAAGATGAGTTCCATTTCAGCTGGAAAATGCAGAGGCCTTTTTGTTTTCTTAGAAGCAAGGTAGACATGCCCATGGGACTCAAGGTTATCACCCTTCCTAATATTCCTGATTTATTTTCTTGGGGCACTTCCACATAGCCACATTTTCCCTTCTCAGACCCCTCACAGACTAACTGTCACAGCCATCCTCACTACCCCTGTTCTCAAGCCAATAAGGATTCTTTCAAGCTGGCCAATAGGGGAAGGCAAAGTTAGCAGCCAAAATCCCCCACTTGATCATCATTCCCACTTCAGAATGAGTAAATAAAGTATTGGCCACTTTTGGGAAAGGAGCTATAGCATCATTTGGTACGTCTGCTCATTTTAAGCAGAAAATTGAAAGGATGCCAGTGTGTCATAGCACTTAGTCTCAGTGGCAAGGAGGGAGAATGGAGGATCCAGGAGGCAGTACAAGTGCCTGTCAATGGAAAACTCCATGGAGATCTAGCATCACATGCCAGGAACTAGAAGATTCCAGCAGGTTGCTTTGATCACAATCTCAGCAAGGCCCCTTCCTCAGTTTTCCTACCCTCCTCTGCCTGAGAAAGTCTTTACACCCACAAATCCAGCTCCTCTTGGTCTAGGAAAGCTCTTCCACCATAATTGCTGGGCATCCCAAAATCCTGCTTGAACATCTCTCTCTTTTTTTTTTTTGAGTTTTTTTGATCGAAACTTTTATTAAGATAGATAAAAAGTACAATTAAACTACAAATCAGAAAGTATAGAAGAGAGAGAAGATAGAACTCAAAGAAAAAGACAAAAACTAAAAGAGTGAGATCAAGTAGAAAGATGAAACAAAAAGTGACTTCCGATTATCTCCAATACAGATATAAGTATAAATTTTTAAAAAGTTAATCTCTTACCACTATTTAATCCTAATTCACATTATTTCTATCAATACAACCCATCTACTGCTTGAACATCTCTCAAACATCTCCTAACTCCATGCATTTGCAAGCAGTCCTCCTTCCATATTTGGACATCTCTCCCCCCCATCCCCCACCAACACACATAAACAGCTATTTTCATCCCATTTTTTCATTGTTTTCTCTGATAGCAGGAGTTTTCTACACATGCAAGTCAATGACCCCATCACTGATTCTAACCATCTTGGCAGTTAGAACTATCAGTTCACTGGAATGAATCTGAGCATAGAAATGCCAGTTAGTGTTTTTGAGCAGGCCTTAGACTGAACTTTTTGAATGGATGCTTTCCATTCTTTTTCAGTAATGAAATCCTTGTTTGAGTCTTTAATCCCCCAACTGCCTTAAAAGAGCTTCAAATGAGTCAGAATTGCATGTCTGAATTGCACATCTGAAAATGCATATTTCCTGGGCCTCCTTTGACCAAAGTTTTCTAGAGGGATTGTAGAGAGGAAACTTCACCTAGCCATACCCCTCCTCTGTTTGTTGTAGGGGTTGATCACCAAAGTCATGTGTGCATAGTAATCCATTCTGGCCTATCCTTTCTGTTTAGCAAGTTAAGAGCAATACGTCAAAAGCACAGCCTGCTTCCATGTTCAAGGTCTATATGGAACTGAACATTTTGTAATTTTGATGCAACATTTGATATTTCCCATGAGTACTTATCATGCATTTCAGTAATTCTATGTTTACTGTTGTGTGAAACAAGCACCACAAATCTCTCTGGGTTAGTCAGAAGTAAAGTTTATTGGAACCGTTCGCAAAGGCTGGTGGGCTTCGTTGCAAATAAGAAGCCACC